TTTAAATAAACATTATATTCATGTCATTTACATATAGTGTGCGATGAGAGAAATAATGCTTGAATCCCAACTGCCAACGTTTCTTTTGTGTGCACACCAACCTATACATGGGCTTTCCGGGTTTACGGGGGGTTGGATGGCCGAATGGTTGGCACGCGCGCTGTATCATACGGTCTGTCATTGAGTCAACTGGCATGGTTTCGATTCCCCGGTTGTACGTGACAAGGAGTAGGGTTGCCTGTACAACCTCGTGGGTTTTCTCCAGGTCCTCCGGTTTCCTCCCACGGCTAAAGACCCCTACGCGCAAGCGAATTATTGAAATAAAATTAAACCATGTGTTAGTCACGAAATGACCTAGTTTGTGTCGAGTAGACGTTAAACCCAATTTTTCTCTCTCTCTATCTGGGTTTTTCGTCCCTCCGAACAATTAGAAACTAGCCTTTGTCAGACTCTCGGTCACTGACAAGTATAACTCACGTTGCAGAATCTTGAGGAAGACCACTACCGAGAACAACACCGGCATCTCCTGGTTAGTGAGCCAGAGAAATGGAATCTGTCGTCCACTCGACACAAACTAGGTCATTTCAATTCTATGTCAATAATCCCCTTGTGTGTAGGGATCTTTGGTAGTGGTGGGTCGGAGGACGCAGAGAAAACCCACGAGGTTGGACAGGGCACCATACTCCTTGTCACGAACACACGGGGAATCGGAATCACGCCACTTGACTCAATGACAGTGTTTGTAATTTCACGCGCACGCATTAACACACTAGACCATCTCCCCACCATATACATATACCATTCAGTAAAGTATAATAAAAACACGTACAGTTTATTTATATTTATAACATTAAGCTAAGTATTCCGTATAATAAACATAGTAACTTACCATTTATAAACAACATACATTGGCAGGAAGCAATGAGGATCACCAAAACCTTCATTATAGTTACACACTTTCACGTAATATATCATATATTAAATATATGATCGGTTAATAGAACGTAGTATATTATATACTATATACATGGTCGCTTAATTCACGTAACATATCATATACCTAATAGAACGTAATATAACATAAACTAAATATATGATCGGTTAGTAGAGATGTTTTAACACTGGAAATCAACAAGGAAGTTTAATATTGTTTGGGGTTATTGTATGAGGATTTTCCCACGTGTTATGTGCAAGCTTTCACGGTCTACATAACCTTTACCTTTCTTATATATCATAGATTACATGTATACACTATGATATGCCACATATCAGTACGTAGTGAATCAGATATTGAAATGAACAACAGTATTTTTAGTCGTTGGCTTAGGGTTAACCCTAGTGAATTGCATATTGAAATTAACAACAGTTTTTAGTCATTGATTTTTAAAGCTACACTACATATATACAAGTCAGAATAACTTGTCGTTATTTATCATGGTTTAGTCATACCAATTGTAGTCATGTATTAGCCTTTAGTTATTTATCAGATTGTAATCTTACCAATTGTTGAATAGAAAGTAGGCTACAGGAGGGCCACACAACACATAAACAATTATACAAGACACACCTACGGACGGGTCAAACAACAAACGTATTTATCAGATCGAGTTAATGGGTCCGGTGGTTAGCCGTAAGCGTCAACTACGCTGTACAGCTGAGGCTTCAAGACTAAAATTATTCTTGGCTAATTCCCATTGTTTAAGACGTTATTTACTGTAAACCAACATTTTTTTGGTAGCCAAAAAATATGTGTAGGTTTGCAACATAAAATTGTATGTTTTAACTCCATGCAAAGACAGGACGCTGTTGATTTGTATAAATTTAATAACAGTGTTGTTACTTTAATATAGGAAAAACATGGTTAACAGTATTATACATTTCAAACTTTATCCCGACAATTCATAAATTTACAATAAAATACTGATTGTATCACGTGTATGTAATAAAACCATGACATTATCAGCATGTAGTTTTACTTCCAATAAAACCATGACATTGTGATCATGTATTTCTACTTCCACGTCGTCCCTGGCTAGTTACACCCTAGATATGTCCGTCGTTATTTAGTTTATATGTAAACTTTGATACCAAGTGGTCTATACCCACTGGTCTAAAGTATTGCGCTACATATATTCTCGCCACTATGAGATCATCTTTAATACGAGGAAAGAGGGGCCTTAGAGGTCTAAGATTTTACGACGGATATTTTCGGTTAGTCATCTGATAGTATCGTATCTTTATTACAACGAATGCACGTTACAACGCCATTGTAATCGACCTGTCTATGCATACGTGCAAAGAATCATTAAAAAAAAAAAAAAAAAAAAAATCATTATTGAATGACTTTACCCCGCCCCTCCCCTATACGACTCTCTCGCTTTATAGGTTCACCTCTCTTTATCTGTATTCGTGTTTATCATATTTCACCCTATGTATTACTACTTCCTTGTTATAAACGTGGTTATATACACGAATAAAGACAGCGTTTTGAATATTTCTACTGATCAAAACATGGCGGCTTGTACAGCTCATGTCTTATATTTGTTATATATAGTAGGATACACGACAGGTTCGTATATTATATTTATATGGTATATATTATATGGTATATATTTATATGGTATACAGTTATATTTATATGGTATATGTATAATTATATGGTATATTTCTTTATATGATATTTGATACACGACAGGGCGTATAGTGGCCATATAGTTAAAACTCCCCGTCCATGATTTTGAATTGTTAATTTTCAGCTTGTTTACCATTAATATTTATATTTTCCTATATATAGGTGTATTACAGTGTGTAAAGAAGGTGGATATCATCTAACAAGGATGATATAATACATGTAGAAAGTATCCGTCTCGCGGTGTACTGCCTTTTCCTCATAATAATGTAATTACCTATACCACACTTCAATGTGTGGATGTGTATTGTTTCTTTCACTGTGGCATACCATCTCCGTAAAACGCCAAATGAAACACTGCAAATTCAGCTGGTGTATTACTTTTATATCTGGCACCTCAATGTTTATAGATACAAATTTATTTGTTATATTATCTTATATACTATTCAAAAAAAGTAGGGGATATTTGATTTTTAAGTGTTATTAAAGTCATCTATTGAAACTGACGAAGAAACAAATGACAAAATGAAATGAATTTCACATTCATCGATTTATTCCAAATGATCGTTAGACTAAGTAAGGCACAGACTGACCATTATAAGGGTAAAATGATACCCGGGGTCAAACAGCAAAGTTACCACAGCATCACAACCAAGTCAGTAACGGGTAAATCCTCCTCTGTTTGCCAAACAAGCATTGATCCGACGTGGCATACTCCTAATGAGACGTCTAAGGTCATTTTGGTCCAGATTGTCCCATTCCTGTTGCAACGCAGCAGCAAGTTCTTGGACATTGGCAGGACGTTGTTGACGTTGACGTAACCTCTGTCCAAGCATGTCCCAGACATGCTCGATGGGGGAGAGGTCGGGACTCAGTGCTGGCCAAGGTAATGTGGTGATGTTCTGTTGTTGGAGGTAACCTGTAACGATCCTGGCCCTGTGACATCTTGCGTTGTCATCCTGGAAGATGAAACGGCGGCCATGACGTCGTGCGAACGGCACAACATGGACTGCCAAGATGTTGTCCCGGTAGTACTGGCCTGTAACACGCCCTGCAACAACATGTAAAGCCGTTCTTCCAGCAACAGTGATGCCTCCCCACACCATAACAGAACCACCCCCAAATCGGTCATGTCTGATGACGTTAACGTCTTGGAAGCGCTCGTTTCGACGACGCCACACCCTCCTACGTCTGTCCAAAAAATTAACAGTGAACCTTGACTCATCTGAAAACATCACATTGCTCCAGCGTCGATTATCCCAGTGTTGACGATCCCTACACCAACGACGTCTTGCCTGAATGTGATGATCTCTCAAACAAGGGATCACGCGAGGACGTCGGGCGCGAAGGTGACCCCTATGCAGTCGATTCCGAATCGTCTGGCCACTCACTCTCACACCAGTGTCTGGTTGAAGACGAGCGCTGATCTGATTTGCTGTGATGACACGATTTCTCAAGGCCAAGGTACGGATAAATCGATCCTGGGCTTGAGTTGTCGCCCTTGGTCGACCTGAGCGTGGTCTGTCCTGTACAGATTGTGTATCACGGTATCTGGACCATAGCCTGCTTATGACAGACTGAGAAACATTCATCGTCCGCGCCACAACAGCCTGTGTTGTGCCGATCTATAGCATGCCAAGGGCACGTAACCTTTCATTTTGGGTAAGCCGACGCATATCAAAATTTGTTTTCTGGTCACTAAAACAATTAAACTGATGTTTCCACCCTGGAATTCAATGCCACAATGACTGTAACATTCAAAGTCAGAGTCGTGCAAATCTTGGGTTGGACCCCCATGATGATCCCAAGCATCACCTGCATTCCATGCGGTAGCTATTGGTGCGTTTGGGCGTCACATGTAACTGGAAATGTTTCTTCTGTTAGGTTCTATAGTGACTTTTTTCGTAGTCATTTGCATATTTTAGTATTATGCCCCCAAAATCAAATATCCCCTACTTTTTTTGAATAGTATATATAGGTATAGATATTATATATAGCCAACCTAGCCTGTTTATCACACTTATAAATATTTATATTTTCTTATATATAGGTATAGATATTATATATAGCTAACCCAGCTTGTTTAACGTATTTATATTATCTTATATATAGGTATAGATATTACAGTATGTAAAGGAGGTGAAAACTTCCCATCAGTGAATCTGAATTGTCCTACCAATGATGATATGATACATGTAGAGAGTATCGGGTATTTTTATAATCAAGGGCCTGATTATATTTATATTTTCTTATATATAGGTATAGATATTACAGTATGTAAAAATGGTGAAAACTTTCCATCCGTAGATCTGACTTGTTCTAACAATGATACAATGCATGTAGAGAGTATCAGGTATTTTTATAGTGAAGGATCTGATTGTGGTGGTTCAACAGTACCATGTGGTCAACCATTGACTAATAGTGATACAGGTTTAATAACATCTTGTACTGGACAACCATCACCATGTTTACAATACATACCTAATTATAGTAATTGTACAGGAAGTACTGTTAACTATAGATGTATTTCAAGTAAGTAAACATATTTAGTTATGTAATACATTATTTGAATTCATACATAAATTATGTTATAACAAATATAATCAAAAATTATACATGTGCAGGTAAAATTGGAGTATCACCACGAAAAATATGTCTACCTTTGATGTCATAAATATTACAATCAAATATTGTACAGGTGAAATGTCTGGGCAAATGCTCATAAACAGAACATCACGAAGAACATGCCATCATTTATTAAATTATTCAGGAGCAGGGTGTAGTTTTAATAACTTAGAAACCTATAAATAAATCAATTTAACTCAATCATTATTTCATGTTTCTTTTACAGAAGAAAATGGTCAGGATATGTGTCAAGTCCCGTTAACTTTAAAAGGAAATGTAAACAGAATATACCTGCTTTCACCAAATTATCCAAATGTTGCAAGTGGTTTTAAACTAAATGAAATGAGTTGTGAATGTGTTATACGTGGTACAAGTATAACATCTATAACTATATTAGATCTTAGATTACAAACATCTAGTGATGGAACAAGATCTAATTTATTTATACAATATGGTGATATAACTTATAATAAAACAAGTAGAGAAAACTCTCAATCTGCTTTACAAATTGATAATCACAGACTACAAACAACAACAACAATATCAGCTGATATCATATTTACTCATCAACGCATAAATGGACTAAAACTATGGATTGAAATACAAGGTAAATATTATACCCAAAATAAGTTATATTAAATCGAATATTTAAGAAGTTATTCGGATTTGAGGAACAATCTTCATCGATGTGACCACCAAACGTCGTAAGATATGAAGGTGAACAGATAGAAACGTTACCGTCTAACATCCACCACAGGTTTACCATAAAGTAAAAGTATACAAACTAATCATACCTTCTGGGTTTTTGTTTTTTTTAAAGTCGGTTTATTCCCCTTTTCAGGTATATCTTTGTCGGGGCTCTGTAATAATATACCTACAACAACTGTTCCACCAAGAACCACCACACCATTTATTTACACACCAACACCCATTACACCATTTATTTACACACCACGACCAGATAGTACTAGTTCATCTTCTACACAGAATAAGATTTCTACCAGTACAACTACAATAAATAACAGACCTTCAAGCGCTACACCCAATCCCAATACGTCATCAGAAACATCAACTGAAATATCACAAACAGCAACTACTCGATTCGACAGTGCAGCACAACAAACAAACAATGGTAATTTAACTGAATATAGCAAAATTAAAATACATTATACGTTTCTGTTTATCATCTGTCCAAATGATAACAAATACACCGTCATTTACTTTTTATCCCCATTAACAGCGACATTTAATTTTATTCAGTAACTAACAATATACTGACAATGTGAAGATGGACCTGACACTCTTCTAATGACCTATAACACCTGCGTGCCTCTCGTCGCACGCCTAGTAAATTTCTGGAAGCTATAGTAACTTTGAATGACATAATTGGGCATATTACTATTTATTTCAGATACCAATATCATCATTGTATTGGCTACTTTATTATCTCTTTCAATGGTACTGGTCATAGTTTTATTTCTTATGTACAGGTATTATTATTATTGTTTATCAGTTTCTATAGTATCCTGTTTCTATATATTAATCAGATTAGGTCATTCACAGCTTCTAGTTATTCGGATGGAACGAAAAACTTTGTTCCCGTGTACACACACATTAGTGCTGTTACCTTTTGGGTAGGCAGAAACGGCGCTGTCCGGTCAATTGTTCTGCTATAATGGGTTTGCTTATTTTTATTTTTCTTGTTACAGAAAAGGTAAATTACGATGTCTAAATCAACCAGGTAATCCTGGAACAGAGAATTCAAGGGCGATAACTTCGTCAGAACCTGGTACTACTTACAGTACTCTTTCTAATGTAGACAGACATAATACAGATAGTGCTTACCAGGAATTACAAACCAGGAATTCTAATTCACCTTATAATAATCTTCCATATTCTGGTACAAGTGAGGTGGAACCTGGTACTAACTATAGTAGTCTATCTGATGGTAACAGACTTGATAAATATAACAATAGTTACCAAGAACTACAGACAAGGACCCCCACGTCACCTTATAACAATCTCCCTTATACTAGTGAACATCATACATATAGTAATCAATAATTATCATATCAGAACTAATACCACTAAAGATCCCGTCTTCATTAGCCCAGTCGGTGCAGGACGCTGAGCCCCATTTCATTTCATTTTCCCACTTAGGATTTCTAGCAATTGCTGCAAAACTCTGGTTGCTAGGGAGTCCGGATGTGTTTTCTCCCCCCACACGCGAGAATTTCGGCCTATTATGTGTATTTAATATGCCTTATTATGTGCATTTGATATGCACTATTGTGTGTATTTAATATGCATTTTTATGTGTATTTGATATGCCCTATTATGTGTATTTAACATGCCTTATTATGTGTATTTGATATGCCCTATTATGTGTATTTGATATGCCTTATTATGTGTATGTAATATGCCTTTTTATGTGTATTTGATATGCCCTATAATGTGTATTAGATATGCCTTATTATGTGTATTTGATATGCCCTATTATGTTTATTAGATATGCAATATTGAAACCGCACAATAGATTTATGTCTGTTATAAATAAAGTTAAATATGTTACTGATAATTCTTTTCAATAAAATGTGGGGAAATTATTTTACAAGGTTAATCTATGAAATAAAAGACAAAACTTTATGGAATACAGTTATTGATTTTAATAGGGGCAACCTTTCAACAAAGATTCTCTTATCACGCGGAACATGGACACAGTGTGTAAAGTTTAATAAAATGTAATTACATGTAATGGTCAATTACATTGCAATTCCTATAAAATGAAATGAAATGGCGTTTAACGTCTTACTGTTTTCCTCCGACGAGACTAATGAAGACGGTCATATGCCATTATGAAGGCAATTTGGTCCGGACAGCGGCACTACGGCCTACTTTTTTATCAACGGATCCTTTTAAGTGTGCATTAATATGTACACGGGGCCTCGGCTGTTTGTTCCATCCGAACGACTAAAGGTTTCCCTAATTGGGTCTAAAAATCCCGATTAACTTTCTCGGTCTACATAGGGTTCGAACGCGAGACCTCCAGGTTAGCGAGCCAACGTTTTTTTTATTATTAAAATTCGGATAAGAAGTAAATACAATATGCGTCACACAATATAAAAATAAAATAATATAAATGATAAATATATCACAGACAGAAAGCAAACGATATATATTAACGTACATAAATAATAAATATATCACATTTTAACAACTTTATTGTCTAATACAATAGAATACAAAACGGAGAAAAACTTTCCTTGAAATTCTATAGGTTTAGATTTAAAATACATTTGAACTTCTTCTAATGCTAATTTGAAATCCTTTTAAAGGGTTATGTTAAATTAACAAACATGTTTTTATACATCATTACGCAATTATGAAAAACGTTTAATTCACGAAAACAGGGTAAATTATACTTTCTGACGTAGGTCTACAAACAAGACATTTATCGGCATCAACTTAACGTATTATAAATAATCCAGCATTCGTCCATAAGACATTATGAACTAGCTTAAAATCGAGATTCGTGAATTCAGGATTCTTAAAGCTAATAAAAACACCCTTTCATGTCTTCTGCCTATCTAACTTATATACAAGTAAATGTATTAATAATTTGTGTCCTTTTCTTTAAATAAATAAAATATGAATTTAGCCAGGTAGTTGAATAATGCAGGTGAAGTTGGGAGATATAAATATGAATTTAGCCAGGTAGTCGAATAATACAGGTGAAGTTGGGAGACATAAATATCCCTATTAAGGTATAAATAGAAGGGGAGATAAATCTATTGTCATTGGTATTAATAAAAATTGATATTTATCTTCCATTTGGTTTTAGGTACAGAGTTTTTAGATACGATTATGAACAATCTATGTGAATTAAACTGGTTATATTATCGTTAATATAAGATATAGATCCGACTATCAGTTAACATAGTGAGTAGGTCAAATTGTAATGAATGAATGAATGCATTCAGGTTGTTTTAAACAACAATAAAATTTTAAAATTTGTTTTATTTACATATTTAAATATTGTAAATTAGAAAATATATTACTACTGTATTAGCTATACCATGACAACACTGTTATATACGTACAATGATTGGAGAAAATAGTATATACGTATGATTATACAGTTAGTAAGCTTTTACTACGGTCGCTGTTTGTAAAGCAGGAGAGGGTCATTTGTCAATAGGTTAGCAGTAACCGACCCGTAAGCAACGTGAGGGGCTATTACACACCTTTTTGGGACTAAAACAAACCCAAATTATGTTATTTATTTTATACATATTATGGAATGAACGCACATATCCATTCCCGTATTTCAGATTACAGTTGTGTGTGCTTTGGGTAATCAAGAACCGAAATCATCTTCTTGTGTTTTTTCGAAAGGAACGTATAAATCATTTTGTAAGATTTCTTAGATTGGTGGTTGGTCGTTTGGCATAGTTTACGGGTTAGGTACCGTAATAAACTTATCTGTGTCTTCAAAAGGAACCTATAAATTATTTTCTAGGATTTTCATTTTACTTTGTCCCGTAGTCGGATGCATTATCGTACACACTACTTGTTGTAGGTTTCAAAACCTCAACAGTATAATTTTCAAAAGGAACATACAAATCATTTTCCATGATTTCCATATCTCCCGAAGGCCGATGTTGTGGTATATCATTGTTTGTAGAAGCCACAGCCCCAGCGTTATTTGAATTGTTGGGTGCCTCGAATGGTATATACAGTTCGTTTTCTAGTATTTCCATATCTCCTGATGGTCGATGTTGTGGATTGTCAGATGCCTCGTAGGGTATGTACAGGTCGTTTTCTAGTATTTCCATATCTCCTGGTATATCATCGGTTGTAGAAGCTGCAGTACCAGTGTGATTTGGGTTGTTAGATGCCTCATATTGTATTATAGTTCGATCTCTAGTATTTCCATATTCCCTGATGGTCGATGTTGTGGTATTATAGTTGTGGTATTATAGTTCGATCTCTAGTATTTCCATATGCCCCGATGGTCGATGTTGTAGTATGTTGTTGGTTGTAGTGTCATATAGATTGTTAGATTCCTCGTAGGGTATGTACAGTTCGTTCTCTAGTATTTATATATCTAACTCACCACTTTCGTTACTCTTTGTTGCCTGATGAAATAAAAACCAGAATAAACTTCAGATCATGAAAATCCAAAGATTATTGGCTGAAATCAATCTGAGTTTGACACCGGAAATTGGTATTCCCACCGGAAGTCAATGAAAACTACTTCCAATTGCTTTAAGTGTATCATAGATGGGATCGGCATGATGAAAAAACACGATAATGGACTTCAGATCATGAAAATCCAACCATTATTGGCGGCGATAGCCATGTTCTCGTTCAGAGGGGTCCCGATTTCAAAAATGCCCCTCCCAGAAGGTCAAGGGGTCAGAAAATTGGATAGCTTGGTCCCGAATCAACCCAAAACAACAAAAAAACAATTTTAGCATACAAATCCTACGGGAGCTGTTTTGATGACATGTCACACCGCACTATATATTGGTCGTCATCTTACTATTTGAGAACCAATAGCAATGAGCAGAGTCCCTCAATAGGCAATTACAAGACGAACAATGGGTAAAATTTGAGGGACGTTAGATGAGTATTAGGAAAGCCATCTTCACATTGTCGATCTAGTTAGTAATAAAGATTGAATGTTATTGGTGATACAAAACAACTTTGTATTTTCTATCATTTGGACAATGTCAGTTTTATTCGTTTTCTCGCTTTAATTTTGCTCCATCAAGTTAAATCTATCGTTGTCTGTTTGTTGTGCTGCACTGTCTTGTGGACTGGTTGCTGTTCTTGATGTTGAACCAGATGATATTTGTGAGGTTGATGTTTGGGATGAAGTGCTGAGATCAGTTGTAGTGCTGGAATCTGTTTTGTTTACTGTAGTGTGATGACCAGTTGAGATGAACGGCTTTTTGAAACAGTTTGGGAAGTATTTTGGTTCTGTTATGCAAGATCTTTTTCGAAATTCCGAAGTAAATGTACGGTGCTAAGACCACCTAAAGATAAGTTCTAAATGTTTCTACTAATAATTAGAACAGGTTTCGCTTTAGTTTCTATATTTTACGCTGACATTTTATTGCTTTAAATCTTCCTAGTGCAAAACGGAAACTTTGACATTTCGACCTCCGGGGTCACTAAGAACAAAGGCGAATTTAGCAAATTTCCATTTTTATTGAAAGAGTGATTACTTTCGATCATTTTCGGCATGTTTTCATGACACAAGAATGGCTGCGCATTCACTTTCAGTGTAAATGACCTCATTTGACCTTTGACCCCAAATATCTCAAAAACGCCCCAATGGCGAACTGATTACCACTCGGCATCGTATTCTACACAAAATTTTACTCTGGCTTTGAGTCTGGGGTTTTTTTTGCCCATTTGATGGACCCCACCCCGCACTGAGCCTCCGGTATATAAATACTGATCGTAATAACCGGGGTCTGATCACTGCAAAATCTTCCCTTTGGCTATCCAGCGAGCGTTTAAGTCTGGTGTTTACCGAAAACGTTATGATTTTAGACCAAAATACCCAATTTGACAGGCATGTTCAAATAACGAAACATATAGTAGTAATGGTGATGATCAGTGATCATTTGAAAATAATCGTTGTTCATTGGTAAAAAATCGCTGCTTTGGTTAGATTGTGCTGATATAAAAGCGTGTCATCCCAGGGTATGCATTTATACATTTCCCTGTTACTAACTATAAATACAAATGCGAATAATCTTGGTCTGATTCTGAAAAATTTTCCTACGATGATGTTTAACCAAAATAACAGATTTCACATGAGAAACACTCTAATAACTAAATATAGTGCTAATGTTGATAATCGATGGTCATTTGAACATATGAAGATAGTCGTCGGACATCAGTAAAAGAAGAATAGCATGGAAAATACTGAATTTTGCACATCTTCAGAATATTGTAGCACACTAGTGAGTTTAGTGCCGGTCAGTTTGTTTCTTCTGACATATACCTGGACGGATGCTCTTCATAGCCACACCCAGCAGTTCTTGGTCAAACACGCCATGAAGCAGCTACATACGTTTTAGGATGAAATAATTTTCAACATACGTAAAATGACCACTTTCAGATAACTCGCATCAAATTCCATACCATCCATTTATTCCCCAACGACTTCAGGATTTTAAATCAACCACTTGGTCTATCATAGCTGACCAATATCAAAATTTTAGGGTCACAACACTTCGAGTAGGACCTTTTGAAATATGGTAAATTGACCCAAAACAACAATTTCCAGTTGCTTCTGTCACTTATTGCTGACCCCTCAGGGTTATCGTTTTTTGTTTTTTTTTGCATAGTCCTCTCGCGTTCTTAATGTCCTATTTTTGTGAACCAATAATACAATTACAAACCGGGACACTGTTCTAGTTGATTACATTCAACTGTCTCTGTGAAATTACCAGTACAATACATTCCACCAGTAGATAATGTAGGATTATCACAATACCTTGTTCTGGTTTTGCTACCTCCACCACATGCAACAGAGCAGATACCATACTCTACTACTTTAATATAGTCATAGTAACATCCCCAATATAACCCACTAATATTAGTGTAATAAGAGAATAATAGTAATT